TTAATGAAAGCGTAGTAGACAAACAGTAAGTTCCGGTTACTACTTAAAAACTTCCAGTAAATGATATAAACATAACAAATGTAGGTTGGATCTTCTTCAATAAAAAGCTGTTGATTCTGCCAAAGGCAAGCCATCATCATAAAAGCATTATTTCTGAACCAGAAAAAAACGACAAAAGTTTTGGGCCATTTGAGCTTCTTAACACAAGATTGGCAAAACTGCGCTGTCTTCCATATTTTGTGCAACGTTTTCTCACTTTAGTAACATTTTAAATGTTACTTAATTATTTCTGGGCCAGTTTGCTGTTTTACCCCTAAATTGGCGAAACTTTTTTTAAAGTAGAAAGTCCATACACTCGTCAGCACTGGTCACAAAAGACTAGAAAGTAATTATTGAAATAATGTTAAGTCAGATCTCTCATCTTTTTGTAGAAAGTAGGGCTACATATTAATGCATCATCTTGTGAATGAGGTGTTTCTTGGTGTTGTGGGCACTATTAAACAATTAGACTTAGTGTTGCTGGTAAGCCACAATTATCTGTACCAATTATCCTTTTTCTGTAGTCCATAGTTTCTCTATTTTGGTAAGAAAGTGCTTTGTTGTTGTTAAGCCACACAAAAATGGTCATCCAGGGCCACCATACTGTTCCGTCTCTGTTAAACAAGTTCGCATCCTTAAAAGTTAATGCATATTCAAGCAAACCTTCGAAATTATCGCTATCACAAAGACGCATTCGGATGAAAAAAACAGACTTCGCAGAGTTATTCAGAAGCAGCTGGTTTTTTAGTGGGTTCTAGGACGTGGTTCGTGGCTAGTGTACCATTTATGTTTAAGTATAATGCGCACAATCGTCGAATTTAATTCCAGCGGTCCCAGGATTCAATTCGGACAGGACCTCGCTCTCAAGACCAATGGTAATTAGCTACTCCCATAACTGTCGACCAGTCGTCTTTTGCACAACGTGAACTCGATGTAAACTATGAATAGTATAAGGACTCTGAGCAAACAAAGAAAGTTAACTTTTGCCTCAACTAAGGCTACTGAAAATTCTGTCTGCTTCGAAGATGTCATTGCCAGAATATCTCTCGTTCAAGGAGAAAATGATCTATTATATGTAAAAAGGGGTAAGTTTCTAAAGAAACTGTGGTGCTGCGTCGGTGGGAGAGTATAGCAGGTAATTTAGTGTTAACAAATGGGTTGAAAACGTAAATTAGCCACCGTAAAGAGTAAAAAAGCTGACGTTTCGAGCGTTAGCCCTTCGTCAGAGCGATTAGAGGAATTCCTCTAATCGCTCTGACGAAGGGCTAACGCTCGAAACGTCAGCTTTTTTACTCTTTACGGTGGCTAATTTACGTTTTCAACCCATTTGTTAACACTAAATTACCTATTATATGTAAAGCTCGCCAAAGCGAACTTCAAGTTTATCAAAGTTTTACTCTTTATGCAGTTTTCCACTATACTCAGTGAAAGGATAAGGCAAAAGGTGACATGTTCACATCAGCCGTTCACATCAGTCCGCACTCTAATTTGTCTTCATATTGAAGGATTTATTTTTGAAAAGTAATAAGGAAGAGTCCGGAAAACGAGGCTTAATCTTAAGCCTGAAAAATAGCGTCTTTTTAATCACACCCCGGACTGAAGAGCATTTAAGGAAGAGAGCTCTTCTTATAATGCCCACGATAGGTAATATCTGGCTGTTGAGCAAATTAACTCTCGCTTTCATTGAAGAGAAACCAAACTATGAGCAAAAAATCCTTGAGGCTCGTTAATGTAAGCGTTTATCAATCGGTGAATTTAACTTTTAAAATTTTAATTCAACTTTTTAAAATGCCTATCCAGTTCAGTTGATATGGTACTTTTCGTCGTGCGTCTCATCAAAGTGTAGCTATGTTGTTTATAAAACAGGCTCGACACATAATTCCTTGTGGCAGCCAACTTATCACATAAGTTAAGAAGCCCTCTAGAGTTGAAAGCTGTCGTCCTTGCTGACGGCTGGCGCTCTTAAAATTTGAATTTACCAACCAGAATTTTGAGGGTGGGAAAAACTGGCTCTTACTTGGTGTAGAAGATACAGTATACGTCACAATAGAGTTTTCATAACCGGAAATAAGAAAATAATGAAAACAATAGTGTGACGTATA